ATCAAAAGCAGAAAGACTGCAGTGTTACTTCCTAACAAGCTTGTTAGGAGAAGAACAAGCCAGAAGATGTTAAACAAACGATGGAAAGTACTTTCACGGTTTGTTTAGCCACTCCCTCTTATAGGAGGAGCCCGAGTGACAAACTCCAACCAGTTGCTTAATCACAGTAAGTCAGAGTTCTGACAAGTTCTTGGTGTCTTTAAGATTTCATTTAATCACAGTGTTTTGAATCAATTATCAGGGATCAGGAAAGCAGTCTAATAATTTGCAGGTAATATGTTTAAGCTGCATGGTGATGTTCCTGAGGACAAGGCAAATTAATCAAGCTCTCATGCTGTTAGCAATTTTTTTTTTAAAGTAGTATTCAAATCACTTGTGCCCGTTTTTAAAAAAAACCCTGGGGGAAGACGTTTTCTAATGCTAACAAAATATTGATTCAAAGCATTCTCTTTTGGCTCAGCATTAACGGGCGCCTAGTTTACACTATCCTTTACCCTCAAAATATGGATGGAAAATATGTATGTCCATTCCCAAGTCCAAGTCCAGTTAACCTAAACACTATACCAGTCTACTCCAGCCTAGAACCATTCAGATGTGTTGAAACTAGAACTCCCAGAAGTTGAGACTACAACTCTCTTATCGGCAAGGCTGTTAACTGTTCTGTACCACGTTATGTCATATGCCAGCTTTCCCAACATGTAATTGCTAGAAAGTACAAAGCAGATTGACATTTAGGACAAGAATCTTTTCAATACACACGCACACACACAACAATAGCAAGTTTAGGATACCTACAGATCACCACCAGATCATCCCTATAAAACTTTACCTTGTCAGTGACTACGCTACACAATGCACAGAAATAATGGCCATAAGTTGCAGTTATCCAGATTTATTTTAATAAAAGGAAAGACATTGTGACAGTAACATTAGCACAACACTGGGACCTTAGGCCATCCTTCATGGATGGATTAACTTTTTTTCTGCAAATTGCAGAGGATTGGACTGGCTTTGTTGTCCCTTCCAGCCCCATAATTCTATGATCGTATTTCCCATGATCCAACCATGGCTTTTGCCAGATGACTGACAGAGCAGTGTAAAAAGTGGACTGCAGCCTTATCCGTGTATCGTATTTTCTTGAACGCAAAGCCAGCCCTACCAAAGTGATAGCAAACAGCACGGTGCCTTGACTTTAGCCCGGAGCGAGAAGAGTGAGGATGGAGTGAGGAAAGCACCTGCTTGCCACTCTAGGAATTAACATTACAAACTGTCTTTGCAGCTCAGGAGTTGGAGTCAGACACTGATCAGCTCAGCTGCAGGGAAGCCCCTGAAAACTAACACCACTGTGGGAACACAGGAACACAGAGCACAATGTGGATGTCTACGAGGACAACCTGTGGAGTTAAGTGGAATGGAGTGCTCATAAGTTGCTGCTTCAGAGCGCAGAGAGAAGTTCGGTCTGAACAATATTAATGAGAAATGAGAGATGGAGACAAGGCTATCCATCTTTTTTCCCCAGTGGGATTGCAACACTTCTACAATTGTAGCCTACAAACATCTATTCCCAATTATAATACTTTTATTTAGGTACAAAATACTGACACTTCAGTGACTAGAAATTGAAATTGAAATAAAGAAGAATTATTGGAGAGTGATAAAGTAAGTCCTTTATATACATGAATTCCCAGGTTTCTTTCTTTCTTTCTCTCTCTCTCTCTCTCTCTCTCCCTCCCTCTCTCTCTCCCTCTCTCCCTCTCTCTCTCTCTCACACACACACACACACACAGACACACACACAAAGAGTGTGAGAGAGAGGGAGAGGGACAGACATTTCCACAGAAGGCTGGGAAATACTGATATCTGAACTCTTTTTAGTTAATGTAGAGGAGCCGGAACTGAGCTAACTAGACCAATAACCAGACTCTTTATAAAACAGTTTCCTAGGCTCTTAAGACATCTGGCTCTTCGTCAAATGAACATCTGACTCAACTATCAATTATTGATTGAAAACCATATGTCCCAACCCAAGGAAAATTAACAGTGTTTGGTTTTTACTGAGATAAATTTAAATTTTACTGATTTGAATGAAATTTTCTAAACTGGGCTTTACAATTTTTAGAAAAGATAGCTTGGGAAGTAGCAGAAATTTTCTACAGAACTCTGAGTACTTTCAGACCGCAAATAGCAAATAGCTGAAATATTTACAGAAGGAGAAAGGCATTTAATTGCACTAATTTCTTACCATCTGTCCAAATGTTGTCCAAAGCTGGGGGTTGGGTGGAGATCAGGCACATATACTTGAAAGGATAAACCAGTTTTTATACTTACCATTCTTAAAAATCAGTGAGCCTAACTTTGAATTTTTAAATCTAGGAGTAAAAGTCACACCATATAAAACTTTGCTATTCTGTTAATAGGAAGGAAGGAAGGAAGGAAGGAAGGAAGGAAGGAAGGAAGGAAGGAAGGAAGGAAGGAAGGAAGGAAGGAGGGAGGGAGGGAGGGAGGGAGGGAGGAAGTCACTAACAGTATCTCTCTTGTAGATGACACTGGCTGTATTTTCACAAAACATCTCATGAAATACAATCTACATTTTAGCTGAGTGCATGATTCAGAAAATTGGTCTAATTGAGCAAACTATGGGTAATTTGTGGGATGTGTATATTGCTGCTATTGCTGTAAAGTCAGATTTCTACAGTATAATGCCTGCTTCTCACAAAGTAAACATATATGGACAAACATTGGTTGATTTAGAATACACATGCAGATTTAAAGCATCTCTCTTCTATCTCCTCCCAGAGTGCTAAGCCATTTCATACAGGCACTCATTGTATTGTTGGTGAAAACTTCCTGCACCAAAATCTTGTTTAGTATGTATCTCTTTTTTTGTCTGTTCCCTCCTCATCCCAATGGAGACTTTGATTGATTCTTTTTGTTGTTCATGCTCATATACCTCTTTCTTTACTTCTGAAGATAAGAATGAAGGCACTTTAGGACAGATGCCATGCAAGGTTACTTCCAATGCTGAGCCTGAAAAAGGTCAGATATGAACAGGGTTGATGGCTGGTCAGGGCGGGGAAAGTAGATTCATGGAAGGAATGTAGTTTACTTAAGGATTTATTTACTGAAATGGACAAGTCTGCAGGTCAATTTAATTTGTCTGCAATATTTATATAAGAGGATCAGAGTAGGTAAAACAGCCAAGCTGGCAATCTGAAACCAGTTGGACCACTTCAGGTGGTAAAAGTTATATTGGAATCTATACAGTTTGTTTCATTTCCAAATACATGCAAAAGGTGTAAAACTGTGTGTAAAAGGAGCAGCCTCTACAATAAAATGAAAAAGTGCTAGAACAGGACTTAGAGCAAATCAATGACTTTACTCCAGGAATTTGCAGAGCCATGGGCTTTTTTATTAGCTCATGGGCTTTTTTTTAAATTAGCTCTGGGGCCCAAAAACCCAAATCTCCAGTAAAGGGCAATAAAGAGATATAGATATATAGATATAGATATAGATATAGATATAGATATAGATATAGATATAGAAGGCCCCATCCCTCTTTAATGCCATCTCAAGGTCAGATTTTTACAACCCAGGTTTGGTAACCCTAATTTCAAGCAATCGTTTTGGAAAATATATGGAGTCTCTCCCTCCCTCCCTCCCTCTCTCTCTCTCTCCCCTCCCTCCCTCCCTCCCTCTGTGTGTAGTGTGTGTGTTTATGTGTGTGTGTGTCTCTCTCTCTGTGTGTGTGTGTGTGTAGGGAATGCCATACTGGGCACAACAATGAACTAAGAGCCATGGGTTGAAGAGTTCAGAGACAAGTATGAGGGTGGTATTCGGGGTTGGAGAAAGAAAGTTCTAAATATACTCTTACCTAATTCATTCAATAGAGTAAAATAAATACTGCCTACAGCTTCTTTCTCTTCCTGCAGAATATCATGGGACTTGAAATAGGAGGCTTGAAATGAGAGGTTTGGGGTAAATGTTGCAAAGAATTTCCTCTTCTAATATTTTATAAAGGAGCTGGCTTAGATAGGAAGACAAAGGTGAGTTTAAGAACGGGTGCCTGGACATTATAATGGTAGGAGAGGGTTATCGCTTAGGGGGCCAGAAGACAAGAGGACAAAGAGAACTGGAGGGAGTTGAATTTAAGGTAAGAATTAATGAAGTTATAGGTGATGGGGGTTTGGGGGGGAGGGGTGTAATTAGAAATCAAAGTCCTCAACTGGACCTTGATCATTGGGATATCCACTTCATATCCAAGTGGATAAGAGATCATCCCAATGCACAGGCTACCCTGGAACTATAGGAAAGAAGGATTACAGACTTAATAACCTTACAAGGAAAAGGGGATAGTGAATATGCAAAAGAGGAGGGAGCCTCTTTTGCATATTATAACTAGGAGTTGTAAGAGGCAGTTTTCTATTGGATTACTTCAGAATACACCCTGTAAGAGTCCCAAAGACACATACATAAACCTAAGATATTTAGAGATCCAGATGCCCTTTTCTCCCTGAATACCAAGCTTATTTCAAACCAGGAACACGTAGGGTACCTACATTTCTGAGTGAGACCAAAGATACTTTGCACATGCTCAGAAACAACCGCACTTCCAACACTTCACCCTTGGCTCCCTCCCCATGCTTGGTTTCGCATACCAAGAAGCCGACGATACCAGGGTGTACAAGTTTAGTCCGGGTATTAATTTGAGACAGTTGTGGAGAATTCCTCCCAGATGTTTATGCTGGCTTCTTCTTCTCTCTACTGGATGCGTGAGGCAGGCAGGCAGGCAGGCTGTCCACGAAGCTCTAAATTTAGATCTGGGAAACTCAGGCAAGGAAAAAGGGAGCCCACTGCTTTCCCAGCGAGTTTTCCAACCCACCCGGGAAGGGAGAAGAAGGGCCGCCCGGCCGCCCTCTCGTCGTGCCAAGCCTGACACACCCAAGGAGGCTGGAGCGTTGCCCTGCTGGCGCCATTCAAGAGCCACATACATACATACATACCGGTACCAGGCGAGTCCCCGGCCGTAGTTGCGATCGAAGAAGTGCGGCTCGGCGCCCGCCGCCCTCACGTCCGGATGCACCCGCAGAAACTCGAGCAGCGCTCGGGTGCCGCCCTTCTTCACGCCGATGATCACCGCTTGCGGCAGCCGCTTGTTGCCTTCTCCCCCCGGCTGGGTTTGCAGTAAGGGATCCCGGGGCGTGCCGGCCGTCTCTTCGCCCTGAGCCACGGGAATCGGGGCCGGATCCCGGGTGAGGACGCGCGCTGCCCCCGCTAAGCAATAGCTGGCGTAGAGAGACATGAGCACGGAGCCCAGAACCAGCAGCAGCTTCCGCAAGGCGCGGCGGGGCAGGGGCTCGGGGCCAGACGAGGAGGCGGGGGGCGTCCCTCCCCGGGCCATGCTAGGCGGCCCCCCGCGCAGGGGCCATCGCCCCCTCCTCTCAGCCGCTTTGCACTCGGCGGGGAGCGGACAGCCCCATGGGCGGCCGATCTGGATAAGGATGGCGAAGGAGAGCTGTGGTCTCTCCCCTCCCCACCTCCAACGGGGAGTGGGGTTCACAGGCGCCTCATTCCCGCGCGCTAGCGGGAAGCCGGGGGCTCCTGCTCCAACGGCGTAAAGGGCCGAAGGGAAGGGAAGGGCAGGAGAAGGCTGCTGCCTTTCGGGGGTTAAAGCAAGGGCCCGGCAGCGACGGGAGCATCGCGCCCCAGCTCCCGGAGACCGTGGGAGGGTCTCGGCAGGGTCGAGTTGGCCGCCTGGAAACTAAACCAAGCTAGCCAAGAAGCAACGCATCTAAAGCGGTGGTAACATTGGCAGCCGCCTTGCCAACGGCTCTTCTGCCGTGCTGAAATCGCAGCCAAGGCGGCGGAGGAGGAGAAGATCCCGGGAAGTTAAGCAGCTGCTGGGTCCGGAGAAGCCGGCGGCACGCACTTCGCTACCTGGCCGAGGATCTTCAGCGGATACATCTCTCCTCCTTTCTCCGGACTAGCTGCTAGGCGGAGATCTGAGCAGCCGGGATGACCTCCGCAATTCTTTGAAGGCCAGTCCAGGGTTGGGGATGGGACTGAGCACAGGTTTGGTACTCTTGTCTCCAGGACCAGCTTCAGGCGGAGCTTTCTGGATTTCGGTGGAAGGATGGAAAGACTCAACAAGAGGTCGGTTCCAGGAAGCCAGCAGAAGCTGCCCTGCTGTTCCAGAGAGGAGTACGGTGGAAAGAGGTCCTCACCTGGCCGCGAACGGCTGGACAGACTGGCGGAAAGTCCTTCGCAAGCGTTCGTCTGTCACCTTCCCGGTGGGAGTCTCTCTCTCTCTCTCTCTCTCTCTCTCTCTTCCCGGCTGCTCTGGCGGCTGCCACACGTGGAGCTCTCGATTGTAGCTCAAACTTCTCCGAATGGCAAACACTCCCCCCCCCGCCAATCTCCGAACCCCGCCGGGCTGTTTAGCGACGTGCCCAGAAACCAATGAAAGCTTGAGAAAAAGCGAGAAGGGCGGATCTGCCTTTCTGAGGGGATTCGGAATGGAGGCGGGGACAGAACTAATAAGGACACGCCCCTTCGTCAGGTTCCGGAGTTTCTCCTTTTGCGGTTCAGAACGAAGGGAGGTTTCGTTACGGTTGAATGTCGCTTCTGTGGAGATCTCTGGATCTTCTTGTGCAGTCTCTCTCTCTCTCTCTCTCTCTCTCTCTCTCTCTCACACACACACACACACACACACACACACACACACACACTCTTCCCAGAGATGGGAAGGGGGTGTGGGTGACGGCTTGGGATAAAGCTGGCTCGGAGTCTGATGCTCAAACTGTTTAGAGAAGGTGGAGGGGAAGCAAAGCCTCTGGGTGGGGGGAGCTGCCTAATAGACTCGTGTGCGTGGAACCCTCTTTGAGGTTGACTAAATGCAGCGATGAGAAAAGAGTTTTTACTTCTGGTGGTTGCTGAGATGAGAATTCTTCGCTCCCCAGCTTGCCAGACAGGAATGCAATCTTGTTAAAATTACCCTGATCCACACACATCTAATAAAGGTCCTCCTTTAATGTTGGCCACTTGTGGGGACATACCGATAGTCAAGAGAAATTAAAGTCTACTGCCTTGAAATGAAGAAAAATAAAACCAGTGAGAAATGAACACAGCCAAGAGGAATATTTAAACGAAGTGTACATCCTAGTTCCACAGCAAAGTAACCACAAATATTTAGAATCAAAGCCTTGCCCACAATCTCTAGAATGAATCTTTTTTTTTCTTTTTTTAAAAATGTTTTTCCAGGTTAGGATTATACTTCGAGGCAGGAGTCCTGTCTGTCTCTTTTAACATTTTGTGTGGTACCAGATGCTGGTAAGTCAACAGGGAAAGCTTTTTGCATCTTGGCTAAAGGCCTATCATAGAACAGCCCAGCCAGAAAGACAAAATAGCAACGGGCACTTCAACACAGTTTGCACTGCAGATGGAAGCAGATGCTTGTGTAAACAGTGACAAAAAAAACATCTCACACATTTTCCTCCAAAGCAATGTTGTTCTTCAAGCTGAAAATAAAATTTCATAAGTAAAAGGTAGTAGAATCATTTTGTTGTGGTTAAAAACCCTTAAGTGAATCTATACATATCCATAGATTTACATTTTGTTTCCACTTCTGGAGTGTTTTACAATGTAAGGTTCTCTCAGTCATATATTCAGATAGATAGATGATAGATAGATAGATAGATAGATAGATAGATAGATAGATAGATAGATAGATAGACAGATAGTAGAGAGATAGAGAGATAGAGATAGATATATTTTCACAAAGCAGTTCATTGTTGATTCCCTGCACATACCAGGATTTCATTCTTAATCTCTGCAACAGAGTAGCATTTATTAGAGCTGACACCATTTTCTTAATCTTTTCTCCAACAATCTTTTGCATAAATTGGTTGGATCCCAAGAAATTATAGGATTATATTTATAAAAACGTGTAAAAATACAGACAAATCATTGCACTTATGAGGCAGTTCCTAGACAGGCACGCTCATACACTCAGTCTTTAGATGTTTCTTATTTTTCCACTATTCATCTTGGAGACTGAATGATCTATTACATTTAACTGCATTTTAGATTCAGACTGATATTAAGTGTACCAAAGCCAACAAGAAGGTCACTTGAAATGGTTCTAATAATTTCTGGAATATTAGACAAATTATGTTTATGAAAATTTTTACTCAGATTCTCTCAGGCTTAACTTACAATTTAAATTTAGCAGGCTTTTTATCACCTTAAAAAATATCAAAGGATGACATACCTTCTACTCCTTTATTAAACAAGTCCAAAAGAGGCCCTGTCAAAGTCCAGCAGATGTTAGTGGGAGACTTAAGCATGTGCCTATAGCAGAGGTGGTATTCAGCAAGTTCTGACCAGTTCTGTAGAACCGGTAGCGGAAATTTTGAGTAGTTCGGAGAACCGGTAAATTCCACCTCTGACTGGCGCCACCCCCCTCTATTCTCTGCCTCTCGAGTTCCAGCTGATTGGGAGGAAATGAGAACTTTACAGTAACCTTCCCCTGGAGTGGGGTGGGAATGGCGATTTTACAGTATCCTTCCTCTGCCACACCCACCAAGCCACGCTCACCAAGCCATGCCATGCCCACCAAGCCACGCCCACAGAACTGGTAGTAATTTGAATTCCACCACTGGCCTATAGTCAAGATTGTAGAGATCTATCTCCTTACAACAGTGACAGCGAACCTTTTAGACATCGAGTGCCCAAACTGCGCACGTGCATGCCCAAACTGAAAGGTGCATGCATGTGCAAATGCACACATGCATGGACATGCAGACATGCACGGACTGTTCTGTCCCCGTCTCACACATGCACACAAAGAGACAGCTGGGGGTTAAATAAACTGGCAAACAACCAATTCTTTCGATAAGAGGATTGGCAGCAACCCAGTAGCTGCTTGCCAAGACTTTACTCATAAACAAAATACACACAGTTCAAGAATTGTCAAGTCCAGTCTGTAATTAAATCCAAGGCAGATGTTGTTTCCAAAGATGCAATGTGACTCGATGGTAGTTAGTTTTGTCCGTCACAGACTCTGAATGGCCACCTCACCCCCTTTTATACCCTGTGGGGTGTGGTCCAGTGACTCAGCTTAATCTCTGGCACGCCTCTTCTTCTGTTGCGCGCGCTTATCTCTGCGACACTGCTGAGGATCCAGCCAAGACTCATCTCCCTCATTACTGTCCACCTGTGGCTGCATGGATGTGCTTGGCCCCGGGCCTATCTCTTGACCTTCGGCGGACACCGAAGGCATTGCCAGAGAGGAGGGTCCTGGAGAGGGAGGCCTTGCCAACTCCTCTCCTTCACTCTCGGAGTCGTCTCCTGCCGATGACACAGGCTCAGGTAACGGAGCCACAACACGGACATGCATGAACGTGTGCATGTATGGACAGCAGAGACCCGAAGACCAGCTGGCCAGTGGGAGGCGGGGCATCCCAACAACAGCAGCATGGCAAGAGATAAGATCTTTTTCTTTTGTGAGATTCTGTTTCGTTGTTTGCAGGGAAAGAGAAGCTCACGAAACAAACACCACAGAGATTTGACCTGGGGCGATGGCATGTATGCCAGCAAAGAGGGCTCTGGATGCCACCACTGGCACATGTGCCATAGGTTCACCATCATGGCCTTAGAAGAACATTTCATTGTTATCAGTTCCAGATACAAAGATCCAGAAGGAGCCCCCGATTATATTTTTCTCCAATGTAGTGCACTTCTCCATCCAAAATTCTGCATTCAACTTCAGATTCTCAATCTCAGTTTTCAGTTTTTCCACTGCACATCTCAAGTACCACCTCAGCTTCCAAATGGTCTCCTTGAAACAGGCCAGAAAGGGAAGTGATACAGTACTCTAAACCTTTTGGCAATCTTCTACTCCAATGCCGAAATAGTTCACACAATCATTAAATAGCATGTAGGACAAGGGTAGAATTCTCTGGGACATCCTCACCTCAGCCTGCAGCCTTTTGCCCACAGGCCTATAAAGCCAAGAGAACCAGTGGTGGAATCCAATTTTTTTTACTACCAGTTCTGTGGACATGGCTTGGTGGGCGTGGCAGGGGAAGGATACTGCAAAATCTCCATTCCCTCCCCACTCCTGGGGAAAGGATATTGCAAAATCTCCATTCCCACCTCACTCTGGGGCCAGCCAGAGGTGGTATTTGCCGGTTCTCTGAACTTCTTAAAATTTCCACTACCAGTTCTCCGAACTGCTCAAAATTTCCGCTACCGGTTCTCCAGAAGAGAACACTCCAAAGTCAGGTCTGTCCTTTTCCCTGAAACTCTACTTCTTAGCCAAACTTGCTGCCCCCCCCCCAAAAGAGGAAGGGACATTTTTATTTCCATTCAGCATCTGATATTAAAGTAGAATTTTCCTCTGACCTGCAAGTCTTTAAAATAGTCTCAGTTGTTGTCAAAAGAGGTAATTTGAATGCTTCATTGCTGCACAGGGAGCAATTTTTGAGAGGTTTCTTTCTTTCTTTCTTTTTTTTAAACTGCTCCGAAGGGAAAGGCAAAACATCCTTTCTCTGTCAAAGTGACTCTCAGCTCTGCAATATATCAGGATCAGAAGGGGCAGAAGTAGGGGCAAATCTTGCTGTATGTAATGCAACAATTAATTTATTCATTCTTTCCCCCAGAACATATTTTGTTTTTCAGGTTCTAATGAAACAGTTGCAAGCAACTTTTTAGCTTTTGCTCAAGTTTTGGCTATGGCTGAAATTGTGTTTGGGAATTCTCCAAAGCATCTGAAGGCAGGATAAGAAGCAATGGATGGAAACTAATCAAGGAGAGAACTAATCTATAACTAAGGAGAAATTTTCTGACAGAACAATTAAGTAGTGGAATGACTTTCCTCAGAAGTTGTGGGTGCTCCAACACTGGAGATTTTTAACCAAAGATTGGAGAACCATTTGTCTGAAATGGTATAGGGTTTTCTGCTTGAGCAGTGGGTTGGACTAGAAGACCTCCAAGGTCCCTTCCAACTCTGTTATTTTGCTATTCTTGTCAGATGTAAATGCCTTATTCTCCAATGTGTAAATAATGTATATATGGAACATCAGAGGTTAACTTATTCTTTGGACTTTAATGTATTCATAACTTACCACTCCCATTCCTAGCTCCACCCCTTGTATATATAAGGAGCCACCCTCACCATTCTCGCTGCTTCTACCTTGAATATTCAGTGAATATAGAATGCCTATCATAATTAAAAAGAAATATATTTAAAGCTCTAACTCCTATTATCTTTATTGAGTCTGATCCTGAAAATATTGCAACAATTCTGTTATTGTTATATGGGGCTTATTTTTTCCTATGCTACAGCTAAGAAATTCTTGTCAGAAACTTAGATCACCCAAACTCAGTAATGTTAAATTTGGGATTGCATATGTGTTCCTTTCCATTGGAATGAATGGAATGATTGGCTTTTGTGCATCTGCATGCATTTGTCTTAATTGTTTCATATCTGGAAACATTCTGCCTAGCAGTTTATTGAACTTGCCATTTGTAGAAAATAGTCAATTGTGCTTCAGTGAAAAAAGAATCCAAAATGAGTTTTGTGGCTTGGTCCACATGCTTACCAGCATCCCAGAGCATTTTACATTGCTTTGCTTTTCTGCATTTGCCCTATGCCTCACTTTACTTAGACCCTTCAGTTCATGCAATCTTTCACAGGTATTGAGAAATTAAAGGTCCATGTTTCATGAAAGGCATACATGTGATTCTTTTTTCCCTGATGGTTTTATAAAGTCTGACCTTCCCTCTTCAGAATGTAAGAAAGTAAATATTGTTTTGTGATTTGTTTTTGAGTTGGATTTCTGCTTGGACTTAATGGAACAATAAAAATATAAAAATAAAATAATGTTTCAAATGCAAAAGAGAGAGATTTCAGTTCTGAAACAAGCCCTTTCAACTAAATAATAGTTTGGATGATCAAGGCTCTTGCCTGCAGCACTTATATGCTTTTTGAATTAAAATGCTGTTTTGGAAAAGTAAAGAGCTTAATTTGATCTGTACAGGAGTCTGAGAATTAAAATATTGTGTAAAATTAGCAAGATTCAGGCATAAACTATTAAATACTTTTTTGGAAAATAAAATACTTCCAAGATAAGAAAGGCCATTCACAAGGATACTTAAATGAGAATTTGACAATGGAAATGATATGTTATAGGTAATAACTCTTGACTTCAATCCTCTACAACCCACCAGCCAA